GAAAAATTTTCTCATAAATAATGGGAACTCGAATATCGTGACAATTATAAGTTCGAACACTCATAAAAAATTCAAGTTTAAGAATACGTTTTTTTTATAGGTAGACAAACTTATGTGAAATCTTTTATTAACATTTTTAATATTAAGCCTTAACTGTGAAAAGAAAATATTTTATGAATTGCCAACTGAAAAATAATTAAAGATATTTGAAAAATGTCTCAGTTATAAATACCTCAAAAAGAGTCAAAATTGTTTAAACATTTTACCATGTAACGAAAATTTTAATTTTAACATTTGATAAAAATTTCAAGTATCTAGGATTATTCGTTTTTAAATTACAACAAAATATCAAAAATGCATAGATGAAGTTTCGTTAATTTACTGATAAAAATTGAAAATTGAATGTGTAGACATTTTAGATTCAAACGCTCATAAAAAATGTATGTTACTTTCCAGTAAACTTTTTTTTTTTGTTTAAGATAGTACCAATTATGAGGAGTCTTCTATCAACATTTATAATGTTAGCTATGAAAGGAAAAACTTTTATAAATATTTCTAACTGAAAATTTCCAATAAAAATTGAAGAATTCTAAATTCTAATATTTGACATACCTATAATCATTACAAACAATAATTTGTACTTCTGCTAAAAACGAAGAAATAAAAAAAAAAAACCTTAAGTAAAGCTAAAAAAACTATTTTTTTCATATGATTTTTCAATTTTTGCTGTTTTTGAACTGGGGGAGCTAAATTAAAGTTTGGGGGTGCTTCAGCACCCCCAAGCATTCCACTAGTTGCGCCTATGGTCGTCGCGTTGTTAAACCTCGAAGTTTTTGTCGCCGGTATATCATTGCGTGTCGCCGGTATATCATTGCGTGCCGCCGCTGGCTTGTGGCCCATCCATCAACATCCATCAAGTAGACCGATCATCGACGGCGGACCAGGTCAAAAAGCTTATCATAACATTGTAATTGATTTAAGTGTATTGTTTGTTTTGGGGCGCCCTGTCTGTTAGTAATTTATAATATCTTGTTTGATGTACCCAAGTTGTTGTCACCTATTATAATTATTACGCGCGTAGCGCACTTACATAAGCATTAGCTCTTAATTGTTATTTCTGTTTTATAATATTGAGTCACCATGTCCTAACTCAACACACCGCAAGTCGTTGCCGCAAACCGCGAGAGAAAAGAAGGCGCGGCGCGGCGAACATTCAGAAAAATTAATGTTATTGAATTATAATAAAAATTTATTTCACCATTAAAAAGTAAACAGTATACACTAAAATACTCTTTTACATAATTTTATCCATTGACCTTTAGTTTTATAATAATATAGGTACTCCTATTTTGTTTGCAAGGTAAATTAATATTTTGAATAGTTCTGATTTTCCATGCACTTATATTATAGATCTGATATTTAAAAAAAATCTTTTGAAATATACCTAGAAAAATAATTGTTATTATTAATATAAAAAAATAATGTGACAGTTGAGTTTTTTTCGAAAACAGATTTTAGTGTAAAAATTCCCGTTTTTCCTTTAATTTTAATTTTGTTTTTCACACCGCTTTTGAAAACTACTGTGAAATTTTCACTTTTAACCCTCTAAAGTACCAACTAGATTCACTTTCCTATCAGAAAAGCTACTGTTGAAGTAAGTCCAAGCACTTTTAGTGTCCTAAAACGTGATGGCAGACACAAAAAAAAATAAAAAAATTTTAAATTAAAATAAAATACAGGTGGTAACAAATCTAGTCCAGCCAAAATTACATTAAAAGTTAACAGAGAACCTAATATACATCCATACAAGAGTTGTTGTAACACTTTTTAGAAAAAGTAATTGAGAACAAATACAAACATTTTCATGGGCATTTATATTTTTTTTGATCACAAAAAATGTATTTTGTGCTTTATGTTCACTACCGTAGACTAGTATTTATGAATAACTGACAAAAACTAAATTATTTTACATGACTAATGTCTGAAGTTAACGTTGAGGTATGGCCTAATAATGCCCGCTTAATTTAACGGTTCTGGGTGGGTGGGTGTTTGCTAAATTTTTACTAGTTTGTCGCCCCATTTTAAATTGAGTTCGGCGCCACTGAACGACTTTATGTATACTTTATATACATCACAATATTATGTGGTATTCGTTCACGTAATAATATATCGTGTTGATTATTTTCAATTAAATACCTATGTGTAGTGTGTACCTATATACGTGAACAGGTGGACAGACCAGATTGAACAGTTAAGAATTTGTTTGCTATCAAAATGTGTTTATAAATTGGTTTTGAGTATCATATTTACACGTTTTAGATTTGAAGATTGGTACAACAGTTTATTTTTAAACTAACATTAAGAAAAACATAAAATCAAATTACTAATAAACATATAATAGTTAGGTATCTAATTAAATAAAAAAAGTGAAATCCTAATGATTGAAGACAGCATTATAGTTATTTGACACTTTAAAACCAGTGTCCAGTACCTACCATATGAACACCTAAAAGTATTTGTTAAGACAATTTCTATATTTAATAAAATTCGTGAATAATCTAGGAAAGTGTGAAAATATTGTTGCATTATTTAAAATCAAGATTAAGTTAAAAAATTAAAAAATTATTTTTTAAAAACACACTTTTCTAAAAAAACAAAAAAATAATGAAAAATTTAAAAGTGTGTGGTATAATATGTCAAGTTTAAGAGCGCCACACACTTTTAAATTTTTCATTATTTTTTTGTTTTTTTAGAAAAGTGTGTTTTTAAAAAATAATTTTTTAATTTTTTATTTTCTACTTTTTAGTTAAAAAAAATTTTTTTACGGATTATTGTATTGTCATCCAAGACCAAGGTCTATACAAATTTTCAGAATTTTTCATCTTCAAAAAGTGCCTCAAATCGAGCGCGCAAGATTTGATCACAGACAGACGTGTAACCAAACTTAAGAAAAGTGTTAAAAAGTGAAAATTTTAACAAAATGTATTAAATTAAAACTAAATTATTTTGTACCTAGTTAGAACAATGGTGTAGTACTCTAGACTGACATTATTATATAGTATATATCATTGAATTCAAATTGAATTCTGTCCATTACGGTTACATACTTACAGGGATGGAAAATGTTTTTATTTTTTTTTACTTGCTATTTCATTCCAAGAGTCATTTTTTAAAATCTTATTATAATGATTTTTGTTTATAGGGTCCCATATAATTTCCTTACTAGGATATATTTCATTAAGTTTTAATAGATTTTCATTGTCCAGTAGGCCATCTTCACAAAATGTACGAGTAAACGAAAATAAACGACTAAATAGTGTATTCTCGGAGGTTAATCGGCAACTAAATGTATCAATTGGTTTGTCCTATGATGTCTGTTGGCGAGGTTTTTCGACAAAATCATCATACCCAATTTCTCCTACTTACCTACCTATATCCGACCGAATCGCATGTGAAAATTCAATGACGAAAATACAAAAAAACCGACCCGTATAAAAATAAGTAGTACATCATTTTTTTTTTCAACGTTAACGACCCGTCAACCGTCGTGTGAACCGCTCCGAGGCGCAGCTTGTTTGTATCCGCAGCTTGTTACCGCATATTAATATAATATTATATAGCCGTCTCTCGTCCTCTCTCTCTTCCGTCTAGTGTGCTCGCAGCTACGTATGTTATATTCTACATCCGTGTATACATAGCACCTAGGTATACTTTATTATGTACTTAGGCTTGAAAACCGCAACCCTTGCGTTGATAACACTATACGGACTACGGAGACACGGTCTTGCAGCAGTTACTAGATAGTTACCTATATACGGCTATACATATATCGAGTAGTAGTTTGCGTCATTTAGAGATTTGAATTATATTCCGTTTCGATTCCGGTTGCTTACGAAATGCCAAATAATTTAACAAAAACTCATCACATGAACAGTTCAATTCGCCGCCGGTGAAAAAATTCTCTAGTTTCAACTTTCAAGACTGTTATCGTTATACAATTGTATATTGCCTTATTATGTTTTTTACTTTTTATCTTATTCGTTTATATTTTGTTATTTGTTTATTTCGTTTAAATTTTTACACGTATGACCACAATTACCTTCCATTTAAAATTATTAACCTTCGCCTGTATAATTTAGGCCACGTAACACCAATTCATATTTTTGGAGGGCTACATTGGGAATTTGACGACTTTCGGGAACCATCAAAATATTCAAAGCAAATATTTTAAACATTGGTATTATATTATAACGGAAAAGTAACATACTACATAGTGGCCTAGTGGCGTTAATATAATAATAAATAAAATAATAATTAATTAAAATAAAATAGAAATGTTAAAATAATTATGATATAAATAGAAAATTGGGTTAAAATTATTGGGAAAAATGGCAATTCTTGCTCTCAACTAACTGCTTGAAATTGTTCATAATAATATGATTCGTGTACCTACTTAATATTTTATAATATGTATGTTCTCAATATTTGATTTAAAGAGTTCCCTACTTTTGGAAATTGTTCGGCAAATGATCAGATTTTTGTGAAGTCTCTATCATATCTAATGACGAAAACTTTAAAAACAGCTATTGTCCGGCGGGTGGTGGCAAACAAAATGGCAAGGCCACTAAACCTACCTATGTACTTTATTATGGGTTTTTACTTTTTTTTCATTGTCTGCTGGCCGGATAAAATTTGTCCGCGGGCCGCCATTTTGTGACCGCTGGTTCAGGCATAGGACTTACGGACGAATGACTAATAAACTGTAATATATTACCGGTATAACACTTACCAGATACCTAGGTATATTATAAAATAAGAATACCAACTCTCAACAGTCCACATAGTTAAATACATTTTAACTGCACAAAACGAAATAGGTAGTTATATAGAAAGTGGCCGTGGGTAGTTTATACAAACTTACCGAAGTACAGTTACTTGTATTTATAATATATAATATAATAATAATACAAAACGAATCGTGGACGGACTGTGACTAGGAATTATACATTGCTGGCCGGTCCATGGTGTCCATGAACTGGTCGTAGTCGACCAGTCCCGAGCCGGCAGGGCCCATGCTGGCCACCATCTCGTTCGCGTCCACGTCTGTCAACAAAGCCAAACACTCTTTGAGCACGGTGAGCACGTGGTCGACCGTCACCTGTCCGGTCATCGGCCCATCGGCGCGCCACGGACGCCGCCCACTGGTTTCCGGTGATGTACCCGCGGCCGGTCGGGTCGTATTCGTAGACCATAAACGCGGTCGCAATGTCGATCGAAAAATGCACTCCCGACCAGACTTTTTTGCCGATTTTTTTAATTTTCTCCCACCGTTTCGTCTATTCGCACGCCGTCTGTGCCCGAATCGTGTAGTCCACGTCTTTTTAAAGCCGTTTATATGGGCTTTTCCCCCGAAATCGGTTCGTTGGCCTCGCAATCGCGTTTAGAAATTACTCCGGCGACCGACCTACCGTTCGCGTATATATACATATATATAAGTGTATAATTTAATTTTTCCCTATGAAGTAATAATTATTAACGGAAAACGCTTTTCACACGCCCCGTTAAATATATATATGGGAGATGCGCGTATTACAAGCGAATTATATGCGATTACATCGATGTACATCGAATATATCGGTTTACGTCGATCCGTAGACGCACGGCTTAAGTGTTGATGTTTTGATCGTATTTCACATCCCAAACTGTGTCCAAGTAGGTTAGGCGTTAGGTAGGAAACACGTAAGTCCCGGGTTCGATTCCGTCGTACGCTGCCCGAGCGTCGAATCCGGCATTGCCATAAGGTCAACTTGGCCGCCCGGAACCTGACTTTTTTGCATTTTTTTTTCACGTTATTTTTCATATAAATGAAATAATAATATAATACAGGAACATATCGTACATTATTATT